TCGTTTTTTGTCTTTTCTGCAACACAACTCAATTATGGTATTTTGTGGTGTACACGTCCAAGTGTTTTCTCTCTTTGAACCTAATGCTTTGAAGTATCCTTGAAATAATTTAAAGCGTCCACTTTTAAACATCTTGGATATGTCTGACAGCCAAATTTCCCACAAATTTTGCTTACTTTTCTCCCGGGTTTTCTTCTTTTCCTTCTACAGTTATTTTCAGTGCTCACACAAAAATTAGATTTTTGATTAAGACTTCCAAATTTTGCATCTTGTCACTTTTTAAAGTCAATTACATATTGTTTTCAAGCTGAAGACAACTTTTTCATTTTTCTAGTCACTATAAAGTTAAAATAAAAAAAAGCAATCCAAAGGATAATTATTTAATTAAAAATTTTTGCTAAATGACAAAGAAAATAAAACAGTCCACAGGTTATTCTGTACCCACCGAGTGATCTGATTCTTATATCGGCTGAAACAATCTAAATCATATTAAAGTCATGTTTTTTTAATACATCTATAACGCGAGAGAAATTAGCTTCTTAAAATTCTTTCTAAAGGGATTAATATAAAGATTAATTTATAATATATTTTTTTAAAGCTGGACTTGAACCAAACTGCCAAACTTTTAAAGTTTAATTTACATGGTGGCTATAATTAAAGTTTCAATTTGAAATGGTCATAAAAAGAAAACTTGTCCACAGAATCTGCTGACTTATCCAGCGATTAAGTAGTTGCAGATCATTTCTACACCATTGACTTCCATTAACACAGTCTCTAGAGGGTTGTATGTTTATATCATAATTTGACTTTTATAAAAATGATTATTCTAAATCTTATGTTTCTATAAAAATATACTGTGCTTTAAAAATATGTATCACTGCTCTTTCAGCCACTTCAAAGACAGTTGTTTAGAATAAATTATGCCTTTAATGTCATAAAATTCAAATAAACATCAAACGAAAATTCTCAGTTTTAGACATTCGATTAAATGAAGAAAGTAGCAGACGATAAACGCCGAAGGTAAAAATTACTCTTACAAAAATTTACTCTTTTTTTTTTTTTTTTTTTTAGATAGAGAAATTTAAAAAAAAATTTAAAAATTTGAATAAATCATCAGAATTTAAAAAATAGCTTTTCATATAGTATTAATAAATGTTATAATTAATTCTTCGTAAAATTTTACTTGAAATTTAGTAAAAATAGCTGTGGCAATTCAGAGTAACAAAATCCTTAGACCACATTTGGCATTATTATCGCTCAAAAAAAAAAAGATACTACCTATTTTGCAAATTTCAAAATCCAAAATATGTAAATTCGTGTATATCTTAGAAAATTTTGAATAAAAAAAGTCTAATTTTTTGCAGATATGCTTAAAAATACACCTACTTTAAGATGATGTAAAAAATTTTATAGGTTATAATTCAAAATTTTTTTCGAAAAATTTATAAAAATATTTTAAAAATAGAAATTAAAAATAAAAAAAATGGGATTTTATTTGGAATAACCAAATTCGAAAAGAAAAAAAAAGTTTATAAAAAAGAGATAAATATATTTGCCAAATTGAATTAACATTGAGAGCTAAATTTTGGGAGCTATATTTTAAACAACTCGTACGATTTTTACAAAACTTGGTATTCTGGCATAATATGAGTGTGTAGAACGAAATATGGAAAAATTGGTATGTTATTTTCAGAAAAGTCCGATTTTTGTCAAAATACCTATGTTAAAATAGTGCTATATATAAATCTAATATATATCCTAAGTCGCACTTTCGAGACATTAAAAACGCAGTTTGAATTTTGTCAATCGGTCCAGTAGAACGGAAGGTATAGCACTGTCCCATTTTTCTTTTTGAGCAGTGTACAAGGACTTTCCTTTGACAAACCAGCATGCTACAACTCATCACTAAAAATGAGCCTTTGAAAACACAGCATCAGAATGAATCTTATTTCTTCTTATTTTTTTCCTCTAAATTAAAAATTAGGCAAATTGATTTCCTTTGCTTGATCAGATAGCTAACACATTACTTCTCACAAAACTTTATGAAACAATTTTCTGTATTGTGTACAAAAACATAACTTTTTAAAACTATTTTTCAGTATCAATTCTGTATTGCACCTTTTACTTAATGTATGAACATTTAAAATGAAATTAAAGACTTATATATATATATATAAATAATTAATTTTCTCTCTTCCTCAGTCAGCTACGTTAAACTCACCTTACTCCAAAGCCACTTGGATTTTTCCATAAAAAAGTCAGCTGAATTAGCAGATCCAGCTTCTAAAAGACAGCTATATGCTCTTTGCTGAAGACCATTCCTAAATGCCATTAATTATAAAAAAGAGTTTTAAAGAATGCTCTAAAATGAGTGAATTGTTTGAAACATTTTTTGAAATCACAAATTTCAAAATATATAATTTTGAGATTTCTTAAGAATAAATTTTTATTACAAATCATAGAATGCTTACTTATCAAGAAAAATAACAATTCCCTTCAACTATACCAAATAAAAAAAAAATATTCAGTTGTTTTCAACTGCAATGAGAGTAAGAACAAACACATCACAAAATGCCTTCAGTAATGACTAAAAATATCATGAGTGAACAGAATTATTATTTTTTGTTAAAAATTGAATCTCTTTATGTTAATATTAGTATGACATTTCTACATAGCTTCCAGCATAGTAATCTGTTTCAAGTTGTGAGATGAGCAACTTAATATTACATAATTATAGGTTATAGTGTAAGTTTACTGCTATCAATAGATATGTAATATTAAGTTCAATCAAAGTTTTTACAATATTTTGTTCCTTTTACTTCTTGATGCATGATTTTACAACAACAGTTGCCTAGCATTCAAAGTATCAGCTCTCGTAGATCTTAAAATATCTAAGCATTCAATGCAATGGCAGTACAAGTTCTTGTACTTGGAAATGAAGAATTCACTTATACCAGCCTTATCTTCCTCCAGATTGTTAAAGTGCTACTCTTGAAGGAAAGATGGCATGGATCAGAGTAAGCAATAATCCAATACTACAATGTGCATATTATATGCTATATACCACATAAGTTTTTTAAACTCCTTTACTTTCTTCTGAGCTGTACAAGCATTAAGAGGTTTAGCATTATCTTTGCAGCAGAAGAGTGTCACTATCTATTCACCAGAGAACATCTATGCACCAGAGATGAGTATCTCAAAACAGCATACATGAGCTTCAAGAAGTTAGCCTGGATTAAGTCATTGCTTTTGTTATGTCTGGAACCAGACCTCTTTTTTTGTTACACATAATAATTATCTTCATGAAATATATATCATTCAGATATTTAGGAGTTTCTTGTTCACTTTCACTTGAAGGTTTATGTGATCTAGAATCATTTTATGAGATGCATTATTATTTTATAAGAATGCAGAAGCTACTATTGATTTTGTTGAAGTTGTGAGATGGTGAATCATAGCACTATGGAGCATGCCAGTACATCTGATAATTTCCAAATGATACTAGTTGGATTCACCTCTATAGCCTGGGACATAGTGACAGCATCTCTGGTTCATAAAACATCAAATGCAAGCATAAGATGACTGAGGTCCCTCTCCCCCTTAAGAAACTCTAAACAAAGTATGCATTTAAGCAGCCTTTTCTATTAAAAAAAACTGTGCAAATTATTTCTTTTTGGATTAAAATTAAAATTTCAAATAAATATTTTAATCCCCCCCCCAAAAAAACAGCTGATCTACTGCAATGGTAATTTTCAAAATAATAATAATAATAATAATAATTACTGAAATTAAACAATGAAAATATTCATGTGGTAGCTATCACTATTAACAACCATAACAAGTTACACAGAAAATGATAACGTTACAAGCTACAAAAGAAAAGGCAGGAAGGAAAATATATCATTATTCTGATGCAGTGTATAATTGCATGTAACCACATTTAGTCTGATCCAAGTTGGATCAAGAAGGAAGTGCTCAGTTAATGTTAATTTAATGAAGAAAGAGTTGGATATTGATATTATATTTGTAGCTAGTCTATTTTATTCCTTTATAATACAAATTATGTATAGTTTTGAGACATCTTTTAAAACAGGAAGATTGTAGAAATATATTTTTAATTAAATGAGAGTGAAATCTGGAATTGAATGTGAGAAAATGCAAGAATATATAGAAAGATTTTTAATAAAGAAGAAATTCCAGTCTCTCTAATAAAAAATGTTAGTAGGGCCTATTTTTTTTTTTTTTTTTTTTTTGGACTGAATCAAAATTTTAGTATTAAAATAGAAGCAATCTATATATACTTTTTTTTTTTAAATAGAAAAGACTTCTTAAAAGTATTTTCTTTAGTTTTTTTATGAGAGGGGGGAAGTGGGTATAAATTTTTCCCACATTATATATTTAAAATATTTTATTGTTCAACTCGTGCTCGTTTTTTACTATTTTGTGAAAAAAACATTCTATAGGATAATGAATGATTGACAAGTCCTTAAATGAATTAACACTAGAACCATAATTTTTTTAACACCTAGAGCTGCGATAGTGGTAATTTTAATGGTCATAAGATAAATTTTAAAATTCTTATTTTTTTTTTTTAAATTTGCATGATCTACAAAACACAAAAAAGGCATTTCTTAAATAAATTATTGTGACTTAGTGATACCACAACACAATCATAAGAAGTTCATTTTGGTTTAATGTAACTTCATTTATTCTCAATAAGACAGTTTAATTTTATTAAAGAAGGATATGTTTTATTTTTCTGGCATTTTGAAAATATTAATATACATTTTGTATACGCTATATTCATAATTTGTAGCTGTTTATTATTTAACTAAATAAATAATCTAAACTTCTGTTGGAATGACTGGAGAGATCTCCACCGATTTTCATGTTTGGTGGGATTTTTTAATCAGATCAGATGTTCTACTTTCTTATTTAAGGCCTACAGAATATGTCAGCTTTTATGTCTGAAATACATGAAATGTGTAGTTTAGCCTGTATAGTGATTAATGATGCTGACTATTGAACAAATGGACCCAGTTTTGAATACAGGAGAAGGCATGGATGCCTGTAAGCACATAGTGTCTGCACAACAAGGGGACAGTTAAAATACACATCAAAAATAAGTTCTCTCGATGGTTTGGCCATAGGAGAAGAGGGCTAGGAGACCCTCAGATTGTCCCCAGACTGTTCTCCCTCAGAATTGGAGTGGAACTGCAGTTAATGAGGTTACAACCAACAGTGAAACTCCTGTGTCCCTCCCACTTATACCAATACCTGTTTACAATGCATTTATGTTAATTGCCCAGTTATTACAATTTTAGTCTTTACTATATCATCTCCTTTCTGCATTCCTCATCAGAATACAAATTAGTTGCTTGTGTATTTAAGCTGAGGTTTTTGGATCTTGAGAGAGTGTCTCTGTCATTGCAAGGTACATAGTTTCTGCCAGCTCTAGCAGCTTAATTATCTGAGTTTTACATCTCTTGCTGCTGACACTTTTAATCTCACACTAGTAAATCATTTAGCAGTTTCTAGCTTAGTATTTAATAGTATAGTTTTCAACTACTGACTTAAATTGACTGTTCTTATTTATTCATAATGTCACAAACAGAGGTCACTATAGCACAAAGTTGTGTCTTTATGTTCAAAGTTATGTTTAAATAAAAAGTTTGTTTTATAACCTTTAACTTTATAAGACTTTGTCACTTTATCTCAGACATAGTAATAACTCGCTACACATTTGTTAGGGTTAAGGGATTATAGCAGTACAGTAGAAGTCCAGAAATCCGCAACGCTTGGGACATGCAGATTTTAGGACAGAAAAGATAATATTCACACTAAAAGTGCAAAACAAATAAGGCATTTCAATTAGTGGTGAAGTCTAAAAGCAGGGGAGAGTCAATGAATACAGTGGGAGATGAGTAGAGGTTGATTGGATATTTTTGTAGATCACTAGCGGAAAAAAGCCCAAAGTTTGACAGCAGTAGAAAATTTGATAACTGGAAGGAATTTTGTCCCACTAATAGTAATTTGCCAAAATAAATTGCAAAGGAACTAGGCAGGGATCTTGAAATACAGACAGCACAGTCACCCTAGAAAGAAAAACGTCCCTCGGTATTCAATTAAACATGGTATTGATTAAAAATTTGACCCTTCCAGTGATTCAAATTATATTAAATAGCATACCAACATATGCATTGTTGGATATGCGTGTGCAAAGCAGTTATTTGGAAGAAAAACATTTTAAGAAAATTTTTTAATGTGAACATGACAGTGATCCAGAAGTGTGAACGCATAGAGAAAGTAACTTTGAATGTGATGGTGAAAAATGAGCACCAGAAAGTGGTTTTTTTGTAGTGGCGAATTCACAGGCTAATGTAATTCTGGGCATGGGTTGTTTGAAGATGACTAGCACAAAGATTAATTTTCAGAAAGCTACAGTGCACTTGGATGAACAAGGTGGTGGAAAAAGAAGTTCAGCTGTCAGCTTTTGAAAAAAGGAACATGGACAAGAAAGGTAATCTGGTTCAATCGATAAGAAAGTTTTCAGACTTATTCAGTGATAATCCAGGGCGGACTCAGATGGCAAATCATGCGACAGAAACTGGAAATCCTCCCAAGCCAAGAAAAATCCTACCACTATGATAAGATTAAAGAAGAGATAATTGAAAAATGTATTAAAATTTAAAGCAAAAAATGTACAATTTACAAACGTATAAGAGTAAAGAAACTGAGATCACTGAGCCGAGTAACAGAGTGGATAATATATATAAATATATTTATATACATTTGGTGCAGCGATTGCAACCCAATATGAGATGCATCTACATGTTATAGCAGTCCTATATACAAATTTCAACGTTCTGAGGACTCGTTTTTGAGTTTATGCGAGATACGTACGTAACGCACGAATGTACCGAGGCTATCCAGAAAGTAGATTACGTTTGGGAATAAAAAAAAAAACAAGTATAGGAAACAAATTTTTTATATATACAGATGAAGCCACACTCAAATACTACTTTTCACATAGTCACCATAACAAATTAAGGCATTTATCGTAGCGATGTACGAGCTTGGAATTCCTTGTCGAAAATTCGGCCGCGTGCGCCTTCAACCACTTTCGTTACCTCTTCTTGCAGCTGTGCGTCGTCATCAAAAAACGCTGCATAGCCCCCCTTCTTCATTGCTGGGAATAGGTGGAAGTCGCTCGGTGCCCAGGTCGGGACTGTACGGCGGATGAGGAAACAACTCCCACTTAAAAGATTCAAGAACTTTACGAGTGACATTTGCCGTGTGGGCCGGGCGTTGTCGTGAATCA